CAAAAATAGTGGGTAGTTTAGCCATGAACTAGGAAGGCTAGAAAATCAATTTTTAGCTGTGCAGCTCCTATTAAGGCTGGTAACAAATAATGTTATGCTACAGACAAATTGCGAAGCAAATGTTAGCGATTAGCTCAATACCGACTGTTGTAAACCAGCTAGGGTATATATGATGGGAATCGTTAAATAGGCGTTAGTAAACTCACGGTTCATCTTGAATACGATTCAGTACTTCTTGTTCCCTCATCATTCTATCGGCTTTTTCGACCGAATCGTAATCTGAGCTGGCCCGCAGTGACAAACTAGCAGGTATTTGACGCCACCGTTTGAACTCCAGTCTGCCTCGAGGTGACTCGGATTGAGCTGACTTGAGAAGTTGTAGCGTAGTGTTTGGGGGCGCATCCGTTTCCTTGTCACAACTCACATCTACTTTCCGAATTGTCCGGGGTAATTTACGTTGCATATGCTCATGCGCCAATTCCGAGCGAACCGATCGAAGCACTAGTTCCGTGGGGTTGACTTGGCTGGTAGTGGATTTCAGACAGAAAATACATTTCAATGCAAGTTATCTATCGAAAGCTAAATGTTTTTTGCACTGGGGAAGCAAAGAATTAAAGACTGTGGTACATGAAAGTTCCGCCCATAGTGTTTCAGCACTATTGCGAATTTCCCCAAGATTACAGCACTTTTTACTTACGGTTCCACGAACCTTTGACTACTTCCTTTTCTCTCTAAAATCTGATGCAAAAGTAGCTAGCTTGTAATGTACTTGTTCTTTTCTGTGTTTGTAATGGCATAAAATGATTGTAAAATTCTGATCATGCAGAAATGGGCATCACGTATAACCGAACATACACAGCGTTATTATTATTATTAGTAGTAGTAATAGTATTAAAATCTAGTTCAAGGCATCCTTGAACAGTGACCACTATCCATCGAGACTTACCCGCCATTGACGGCGCCGTAAACACCTGGTTGTGCAAACGTGGAAACGCAAAAATGATGGGATTTAGCCCACAACCAGAGTTGAGCTTGTTCATTTTGCTCTTCCTTCACTTCCACATGCTTGACATGTTCCCGTTGATACTGTGCGAGTTGTTCCCTACGGACAGAAAGATACTACAAATAAGCAGTGGGGAACTTTATGGCATTACGACTAAACCCAGTACGATGGCCGTCACATTTTAAAACGCACTGGACAGCCGATTCATTCACTGAAATCACCAGCGCTATATTCCACTTTCACACCATTTGGAGGTGAAGGGACCCACGAACTTCCATTAACGCATACAACGCTATATTCTTGATCAAACCTAGCTACGTTGTTTGTTAACGTGGGCATTTAATTATGATCATTTTCAAATCCGTGCTGAAGTCTTAATCACATAAATAAGTTATTTTGAAGGGCATTATGTTTGGATCGTGCAATAAGACCGATAGTTAAACAACTAAGGTGAGTGGAATCTGGTTAAATTAGTTCAGACAGGCACGCGAGATTTAACTATTTTCGGTGCGTATGCATTCTATCGTAACAGCTGTTCTCTGACGGGGAACGAAAACCATGAGTTACGGTCAAAATGCCCATAAAAGCCTTTAAATCCTTCTGATGGGCAGCCTTTCAAGAACTGAAAGACGCAATTTTCAGCAATGACCAGCACAGGTCGACAGTGGTGGGGGATAGAGCGGATTCCAATATATTCACAATGTATACTACCTAATGGTAACAGTAAATAAGCTTGATATAATGTTCTCAAAGCCCTATAATAAACCGCATGATCACTAAGGGAGTAATGAAAGAGAAGCGGATGAAACATGGAATTGACTTCCTTGGGTTTTGAATGCCGCTTTGTCTCCTTTGGTCATTTTAGTAGTAATGATCTTGTACAGCTTACTAGAGGCACATCCATGCATCCCTTCTCTTTAAAGTGCTTACGTGTCTTGTTCACAAGTGTTTAGAGCCAGCTGTGCTCGTTATCTTTGAAACACAGAAGTCGCATACAATCATACTGGTAGTTATCAGCTTGATATTTTTCACCATATGGTTAGCTTACTGTGGCACAATTTCTTCCACCACAGTCCGGTGCGGTCAATTAAATTGCGATATAGTGTTGCTCGCACAGCAAGTCTTTGATGTGACCAGTTCATCTCAGGTGGCGCAGCAATGTCAGCCACTTGAGAGAAAGGCTCTTATTGTCTGACATGAAGCATAGCACCATCATTGTGAACGTGGTGTTCACACAACACACAAGTTATCTTCCGCGGGCCACCAGTGTCAATGGACGAAATCCGACTTACACCATTCACACAAGTCAGGCAGGATTCACTTCCGTGAAAGAGCATTGCGCGAACACAGACAATGAAGACCCTGCATCTTACTCAGAGTGGAATGCCTCGACCAAGCCACAGATACCTCCGATTGATGAACTCTGGTTGGGCTCTGGCATTGCAAAGAGAAACCTCCTTCCCAATAATATCATCAGCAGAAACCCAGATCCCGGGTAGACATAGCTGTCCTTTTGGTCAAGCTGTTTGTCTTCAATTTGACAAGCACCACACGCTGTGTGGACGAGAAGACAGATACAGTTATCTACGGATTTAGGTCTTCCTACAGCACAGTAGCTGCAGCCATCAGTACCTCAGCAGGCTGCTGGACTCACTTCGATATGCGCACCAGGCGGCATGCTCACACCGGGAAATGTTTTTTGGTAGCTGGTCGTTTGGGTGAAGGTGAAAGAGGCTGCGTGGGCAGACAGCAGGCCAATCAATTGCCGCTTACGAGCGCTGAGTAGGGTTGTACGAGCCGGAGAGTTGGAGCAGAACGGGTTTAGACTAGAGTAAGCAAAGCACAGCTTCGTCACGCACACAGGCGAAGCAGAATGACTCAAACGGTTACAAACGTTCAATGCATGAATACCAACGATTCCACGTCAGCGGGCCGAGATAAGATGACAGCGAATCAGATGCAACCCACGGTGGTCCACCATAATTGCGTGGACCAGGCAGAAGCATGAGGATCGGCGCAGCCAAGCGTATGTCAAGCTGAACATGGCCGTAGACAGGTAAAGTCAGGATAAGCTTTACACACATGTGGAGGCATTTTCAACACTTTACGCAGACATTACGTGTGTAATACAACCTGGTTGTAGGCATACGGTTCCAGATTTGTCTGTCACTGTGGCCAGCCTCAATACAAAATACAGTGTGCATTTGGCCAGAAAAAGTGCATCTCCACTCAGGGTAAGCCTTCGCACAAATGATACATAATTACTTTTGGGTAGAATAGTAAGCGTTACAAATCAGGTAAGATGTGGTTGCAATGCTGCGAGATACGAGAAATAACCGCAAATTTCGATCGCATGGAGGAAGCGGATAACCTACTGTCGTGAACCGTGTGCCTGAGGTGGGGAGGGGGTCGTCTAAATTCCTGGAGGAAAAGTTGTGGGATACGGCAAAACTCTTCCTAACGCTAAAACTAACTATGGATTCCTTCCTCAACCCATGGCATCGGAAAATAAGGGATAGGGAGTGGACAGGAAGAGTACAATGTTATTGAAGAAGACAGGCGAACATAACGGATGGCAGTATAAATAAAGGGTGAGTGTAACAACCAGTTGCAAAACGTAGTTCGCGCACGGGGTAACAAGAGCTTGTTGATCACGAAAGCGGAACTTTGTAGTTTCCTAACTTCATAAAGAACCACATGAGCATATGTGGACCAGGATAATAGGTTAGACAAGAAAATACCAAGTACTACTCGGTCGATAGACGATAATTCTTCGGAAACTCCGACGGGATGTAGATTAATAATGAAATATCACTGCACTTAGAACCCTTAAGGGTGAGGCATTGTGAGTTTGACGAAGTCAAGAGTTTTTCTAATATGCGTTGAAATTTTCTGGATTTCTCACTTATTGCGGCCATATACCTTACAGAGACATCATCTGCTTATTTCCATTCAGTGAGACTCCATGTAGAGGAATATGAAAGGGAATCAAACTACTCCTTGCAAAGCACCACAATCAGCCATGAGTGCGGTAGACTTGTACTGGAAGGCAGATTCCCGGAGTGAATTTTTTTCGAGCTTGTTATCAGGGGCAAAACTCTGCCGATTTGTTTTCATTAGTGCCATTTTCTCTTACTCTATCGCTTCCTTTTGGTCAATTCATTAACGGCCACATTCTACCAACTGTTCTTCGTAAAGGCTATATCTGAATATTGCTAATCAATTCTTTTTCCGGTTAAACCGATGTCAGTCGTTGTGACCCGTGTCTAAAGAAGTAGAGGTACCAACCAATATTTCGTAGATCCGAGGTTTGAGGCCCGCTATCTCTGTAAGACCCCTTCAAATTCTCGAAGCTCGTCAGATAATCCCAACTGGCGTTGATTATCACACACCACGCACCACCACTAACGCTGAACTCAAACAGCTACTCCAGTAGGATCGCGAAACCTGGTGGACACAACGGCTCATTGACATGGAGCAGGCGGCCGGCTAGGAAAATTTCGGAAAGCTTTTCTACCTGCTCCGATTCACTGACGGTAAAATGCCGACTGTAATCAACGTTTTGTGCGAAAACCATGGTGAGCGAATCCAGTGCCATTAACGTCGACTTGTGTGTTGGGCTGAGCACTTTGAGCGGCAGTTAAACTGGCCTGCAGGGCCGGTGATCCCTCATTCAGAAATCCATAGTGTTCCCTGGTGTGTAGCAGCTTCATCACATTCTGAGACTAAGGTTGCTCATTAACTTCGCCTCCTAAAGCGCCACGAACTCCATCCTGCTCGCTTCAAAAATGGAGCTAATCTCCTGCAAAAGTTTGAATTACCGAAGCAATCCCGTCCGATTGGAGTCTAGTGGATAGCGTGTGCGTTTTCTAAAAGGCTGCCCAAACAGACTGCGCTAACCACGGAGGTATTAGTCTTATCTGCGTCGCAGCTAAAGTGCTCACCATCCTGCTTTTAAGGAGGCTCAAACTGGTAAGCGAAAGATATATACGTGAAGAGCAAGCTGGGTTCGGCTCAGGCCGGAGTTGTATCGATCACAGCCTTACTCTCCGTCAAATACTTCAGCGTCGTCAAACCTTCGGCCGGTCAAAGATCGTTGTCCTTTTAATTACAGAAGCCGCGTTTGAGTCAGTTGACCGAGCTGCTCTCTGGAGCTGTATTTTGAGAAGGGGAGTGCCCGAGAAATACTGCTGGAGACATGTATTCTCAAAACGCGGTCCGAGTACGGGTGTACGGCGGACTTTTTGCATTCTTTGTACCACAAGGGGCGTGAGACAGGGCTACTCTGTTCAAGTTCGCTATTGCTGATATCTTGGAGAGCGTTCTGGAACACTGCGGACCCAGCGGCGTTGAGTTGTTCCCAGGCAACTGGTTTCAATATTTGGAGTACGCAGACGGCATTGCCGTAATTTGCGATTCCTGACAGGCCGCGCAAAATATGCTGTGTAGGTTGGTGATGTCTGTCACCCAGTTTTGAAGGACCTTCGTCCCTCCGAATTGTACTTCTTCGTACAGGACTGCCTAGGAGCTTCTCTCACCCTTACCCTTTCAGGTCCTTCTCTGGAAGTGGTAGAAAAGTTCATTCACCTCGGAAGCTGCTTCAGCGCTAACGAATGAATGGATGAATTCTCTTTGTTGGTCTCTAAGACCTAGTTTGCTTTTGATAATCCTCTTCCCTTTCTAGTGTTGACGCGACCTGAGTCTCTCCTTGAAGGGCCGAGTCTACAATCCTGTGATGAGAGCGGTCCTGCTCTGCCGGTGTGAGACTTGGCCTGTTTGTGAATATGCCAATCAGAAGCTGTATATTATTAAGCACCACCGCCATCGAAGCATTTCTGTTTTACGATGGTAAACTCACATTAGTAATGAGGATGTGCGTCGCAAAATTAGCAGTTGAGGCAGACTTTCTGACTGCCGATGAGCCGCATGATCCTCCTCTGCACAGGGTTCAGGGGCTTGTGCACGAACTTTCATGCCTACTGAGCGTTTGCCTCACCGTGAAAGTTTTGCGCGCACAGAAGTCGGCTGGAAGCAAAGAGAAGGTGGACGGCAAATGACTTGCGCCAAAAGTATAACGCCGTTTGCCTCCCATGTGGCCG